GAGTTCTTCAGATCCCTAAAGATGGGGAGTTTGTTTCCACAATTCCATGGAAACAACCACCTTTTGTTAATACACTGAAGAATTTCTTATCAAAATTACCCATTGGCACTTACCTGTCGCTTCCTCTTTCTTAATGGAGGCAGAAGATGATCAGGTGACTATGTTTATACTAAATAAAAGCTTTTATCTTAAATCCAGAGAGAGGGAAATCTACATGTGGCCAACTGGTTCACTACTTGTCAAACCTGGAAAGAGGAGCAAACTAGGAGAGGGTTTGTTAGTTTACAGTATTTTGTGAAACTGGGCATGGAGAGTATTTGCATAAATCAGGTTAAAAATAACTTTTTGGAATCTTGCTGTGTTTTTTTTCTTTTTCTGCCTAAATGCCTAAATTACATAATTAAGGCTGTATTGAGATTAAAATCACTTCTCATTTAAGCAGCAGCTGTCAGCAGCGTTTTGAGCAAATGGACTGGGGGGTTCTGAGGACTTGAAGTTTGGAAAAGAAAGTGATGGGAGAATTATCTAGGAGGCCTGAAACATTTCTTGCAGCTGCTGTACACCCAGAAGTGGACTCCAGAGAGGTAGCCAGTGCTCAGAACGATCTGATTTCTTCTGGCCAGAAGTTGACAATGAAATGGGCATGTTATGGACAAAGTCCTCATGATCTCCTAAAGGAAATGAAGTGTCTTCCGGTTTGGTGCAAGGATCACATTCTATGTAACCTCTCTCCTATTCATTAATTTTTTAAGCTACTGCTCTCTGTGGGACACCCTTCCTTTCTAGACCAGATTATTGTTGAGGCCTGGTTTTACATTAGAAGTCTTCCACCATGTGCCTCTGATTACTTTCATTTCTCTACTCTGGTCTTTTCTCATTATCTCCTTTGAAAGAAGACTTCACACACACACACACACACACACACACGAAGGAATGAGCTCACTTATACAAGTTTATGGGTCCTAAATAGATTGCCTGTCCCTCGAGGGAAAAAATAATCTAGAAATGTGCCCATAAACTCCCATGGAACCATACATTCTGTATATTCCCTCATGGTGGGGAATTGAATCTATTATTTCTGAACAGAGCTTTTATTTTAAGGAAAGACTCAGAAAGAGATGACTTCTTCACTCTTGTCTTGCCCTGAAAACAGCTGCATGAAGCCTTGATCCAACTGTGTGGATGTCAGCTGGGTGGACTTGAGCTCCTAGTGAATATTATCTTTTCATGTAATGTTTCATTAAACAGCTAAGTCCACAAGAGTTCCCAAGATATATAACTCTCAAGAAAAAAAAAAAAAAAAAAAAAAAAAAAAAAAAAAAAAAGGTATGCTTTGCCAAGTAAAGAACTATGATTTATGGCAGTAACTGTTACACTCTGAATCTTACTGGGCTTTGTTTTGAAAAATTATTAGCACAATGGTTCTGTAGAATTTAGTAGTGCAACCAGCACCATTTGGCACGTTTATGACAATAGGGTTCTGGTTTTCTTAACTCCACAGTTACATGTTGGCAGCATTTCAAATTCTTGGCACAGATGTTTAAGTGAATATAAAGAAGAAACATAAAAAAGAACATTGGGCAGTTTTGAGTATCCAAATGTAAGGAGCATTATTCCTAACATGCGGTTAGCATGGACATGGGACCATGAACTTGGTAATAGATGACATGGCAAGCATGAGCACTATTTGCAAAAGACTTTTAGTTTTTTTTCACTGAGGGCACTAACAGTTGTCTCAAAGCACCTCCTATTCATATCTGCCAAATAAGACTCAAACTTATTTGTGCCTGGAGACAAGTTAGTTTTTAGAACATCGATGGACAAGCAAATAGACCCATTCCCACCACATGACCACTGGGACTGCATGGCCAAACCACCGTGTCCCTGGGTTTCATCCGAACAATGGCCAGATTCTGGTAAAACAGCTTTCTTGAAATTTGTTTTCAATGAACAAGTGGCAGATCTACTTTCTGGGCTAAATGTGAAGGGACAAAAAAATACCACGGGATGTAGGGCAGGAAGACTATGCAGAAGCACAAAAGAACTTATTCCCTGTGGCTTGCTCAGTGCTCGCTACTGAAGCAAAAACGTGACTGGGCAAAGTGTTATTCCTCAACCTGGTTTCCAGGGCTTCCCTAAGGGCCCCTTACCCGTGAGTGGGTTGGGTACACACACACACACACACACACACACACACACACATTGGCATGAGGCTAGGAAGGCATTTCCGGAATTGACCTAAGCCTTCCTATCCTCCCCACCACCCCATCCCCATCAAGAAAGTAAAACAGACAAAACCCAACAAAAGCAAATAAATCTTCCCCCATTTACTGGCTAATGTTTGAAATGCTTTCCTTAGAGAACACTTTCATAGCTCATAATTGAAAAATCTTACACTTATGAGAGAAGACAGATCAACACTGCAATCACTCACAAGTGTGGTCTCACATGGAGGTGGGAGATGAAGGAATCATTTGCTGGCAGGGAGGGTGGACAGGGCAGGAGAGAGGCAAACTGTGTCATGTTCAAATGTGTTCCCTTACAGTTTGGTCAAGATGTCGCTTCACTGGCCCTTCACTGAAGACACTACACAAGTATCGGTAAAGCATGAACATTTATATTTAATTTACATTTTGACAATTTGCACATAAATAACAATGTAAACCAGTACGTAAACATAAGATAGTTGGTTGTTCTAGCAAAGTAAAAAGCCAATAACTTTGGTCAGTTTTAACTTTGATTAGAGGAAAAAAAATAAAACCACTGTTGATTGTGGGCTCAACATTCACATGTAAGAGGCCTACGAGGGGAAGTCAAATGGTAAAGAGAATCAAGAAGTCGCAAGCCACACAGGTCTTGGTAAAAATTCCCACAAATAAGAAAGCACAAAAGGGAAAAGAACAAAGGAGCAGAATAGGAAGTATTTGGTGTCAATGTCAGAGTGTGATGCTTTGGTTTACCTACAGTTAAGGACTGTGTTTGTCAAACCCTGATCCATAAAGAAATTGTCAGTTTTGCTACTTACAGGAACAGATCAGTAAGGCTCTTAGGTTTCCCTGGATTATCCTAAATTTGTTGTTCTTTTCTGCAGGTAGTCATTAGTTGCCATCAATAAAAGGCTGAATATATAAACCAGGTTGATTAGTGATGCATCAGTTATTTAGGAAGGAAGGAAATGAAGAGAGAAAAGTTAACAGTGATAAAGGGAGTAATGGGACTGTTTCTGTGACTTGGGTGTGACCAGACTCATAACGTGGCCAAACAAAAATAACGCCATCTTAGATTGTCCTTATTGGTGAAAAATGACTCTCTCTCCTTGGTTGTTATGCACCAAGGTTTTCAGGTCTCTTCCAGTGGCGAGGGGGTGCCCAAGCTCACCAATGTGATTGTGAGGTCATGTGTGAAGCAAAATCTTAGAAAGGATTGTTTTGTGTTTTTTTTGTTTTTTTTCTTTTTGGCCCTTAGGAAGCGTAGGTTCTTTTACATGGTTTGGCTCACAATTTAAGTGGTTATAAATATATTATATATACACATGGTATAGTGGTATAAATAGATTTATAAATATACATCATTCTTTGCTACACTTTGAATGCTGACATGTAATCTTTGGGCTTAGCAGAGTAAAAGACAGAATGGCACACATTCTATCTTTCTGGAGCACACTTCGTTTCTCCTCTAGAGTAGCAAATCATTAGATAAGACATCATTTCCTGCACTACTGGACACACTCAATGAGGTAATTGTTGTGAACAACTTTGCAATGCCCTTTCATCTTAAATTAACCATAAAATGTAAAAAGACAAATACTGAGGAAAATCTTGAGTTTTACAGAAAAAAAATACAATTGATGTGTTGGGACTAGGAACATGCATTGCCTGCTTTTACCCTAAGACAACAAGAATACCCGTTTTTCGGTTTTTGTTTTTTAAGTGTGGCCTGAGCCTATCTACCTCAAATCCTTCCTGGTAGAGCACCATGTTTGTGCAATTTTGACATAACAACAACAAAAAACCCAGTAACAACACCCAGACTCAAGCCCCCAAACCTCAAACACACGAAACCACCTGTGCTTTGGGAACATTTTGCAGTGGTTTGAAACATCGCATTTTGTCTTCTTCACATTTTCAGATAATACACTGGGATGCAGAAGTCATGTGACCACTCTGAATGATCACATGACTTTGGGGTGGGGTGTCCCTGCATTTTGGAGAGGGAGATGGGTCGGCAAAGCCTTGTCTCCTTTCTGGTAAATCCCTGGCTAGGGAAGAAAAAAAAAATCTGAACTACCTACGGAAGCACACAAGATTCCCTTTCTTGTTTCTTCTAAGTTATTGTTGGGTAATTCTGCACACATTCCCCCCAAGGTATACAATGCTGTTCAAATGACAGATCTTACGAATTAACACATCAACTGTCTAACTTTGGCAATACCAAACCTCGTTTTCAAACCGTTATCACAGAGGGAGGTCAACTGAAGTAATGTATTTCTTTACCAAATCTTAAGTACTTAGACGGATGTGCAGAAATTATCTACAAAGAATGGCCACAAGACAAAACTCTAACATTTATAACTCAAATTACAAGGAATTTTTCCAGTCATTGTAAACTTTTTTAATTATTGCTTTTTGAACGATAAACTGTATAATAAATTATGAAGGATTATCATTGAAAAAATAATTATGGCTAGGCAATAGTCTTAGCAATGGGAAGGCTATGCAAACATATCCACACAGTCAAAATACACAGGTTCAAATATATAGATGGGGTGTAAATAAGTATATATAATATGTATATATATATTGTCTTTGCCTCATTTATGCCCTGAGATTTCCGTAACTTTGGAGTTCCTTCTTTTATTCCAGAGAGGTGAGGGGAAACCATCTGCCGTCAGGAGAGCTTTGCAGCACTGGAATTATGTACAAGCATCTGCTACAGGCACCCTGACTTGCCAAGTCATAAGTTACGAAACAAAACAAAACACTTGTTGTTTTCTGAAAATCTTAAGGATCCATTGGTTCTACTGTTTCCTGTTTGACCTTTACAGGCCCCAGAGGTAGTGGGTTGCTGTGAGCCAACTTCATGAGGGACGGGTCTGATGACTCATAAAGGCTACACCCTGAGAGGAGTCCATTCCCCATGTTTCTTTGCAAAGACACTTTCAGGCCAGTCTCTTCTTTCTCTTTCCTGACCATGGCCAGAATTTCTTTCTCCACCACAGAGGTCACATCGATGTTGTCCTCCACGTCCTCGAGCCGGTCGGCGTTGTCACTGATGTCAAACTTCTCGATTTCTTCGTTGATCCGGGTCAGGTCCTCCAAAGGAATCCCCGTGGCCGGGGCCACAGGACAGTTCCCCTTCAGGTGGACCTTGAGGCTGCAGAGATGGATGTAGCTCTTGTGGCAGTGGGCACACTTGTGGGGCCGCTCCCGGGTGTGTAGGCGCTTGTGGAGTTTCAGGTGCACAAATTGGGTGAACTTGGCAGGGCACACCTTGCACTGGTACGGCTTCTCTCCAGAGTGGAGTCGCAGGTGGGTCTTGAGATTGCTGGTGCTGCTAAATCGCTTGTGGCAAACCTACAGTGCGGGGAAGAGGGCAGAGACGGGAAGACCAGAAGATTAAGAGCTGCCAATGGGAAGGGCAAGCTCACATACCAACGCCCAGCAACCTGTGAGGCGAGAAGCCTCCCTGTGGCACCTACGGTGTGGCATTAAGCAAACAGGGAGATGTGGGCACACTGCACACCAGGAGGCGTTGACTCCCGTGCCATTTTCCACCCACTGGAAGCTGGCTGTGTCACCATCTCGGCTCATCGGCAGATGCAAGGCTATGGGCCGGTGGCAAGGCAGTATTCTCGTGTTGCTTTAAACTGCGGCTATATGACAAAGGGTGGGCACGCCTCAGACACCTCCTACAGAGCTTAATGCTTCTACCAAGAGACACTGCCCACCTGGCATTCGTGTGGCTTCTCTCCCGTGTGTACCAGGTAGTGTTTCTGCAGGTGGGCCAGCTGAGTAAAGCCCTTGTTGCAAGTCTGGCATTTGAAAGGCCGTTCTCCGCTGTGCACTCTGAGGTGGACCTGGAAAGAAGCCACGTGGGTTAGCCGTGCTCTGCGTTGGCCAGAAGACCTCACATGTCTGCTCAAGGACTCGGGCATTTATGATGCAAACATCTTAAGAAAACCATCAGGATAAAGCCCAACAAGCAGAGCCCCGAGGTATTCGGAACGCTCTGTTTTGTTTGAACGAAAGGAACAAAAGTCACGGGCCAGCAGGACTCTATAAACTGATCTTCCAGCCCAAACCCCACGGTCTCATTATTCTGAGGAAAGTCAGCCGAGGAGATGTAACCAGGTCAAAGCCACACAGCCAGCGATGGCAAAAGCAAAGTAAACCACCCCCCCGCCCCATGGGCTATTCCCGGGCCAGGGTCTCCAACTGTTGAAAACGCAAAGCGAGCAAAGCACAGGGGCGCGGGGGCGCAGGCGGGCGCACCGGGATGGCGCAGGCGCACTAGCGGGCAGCCCGACGCCGCAAGGCCTACCTTCAGGTTGGAGAGCTGGCCGAACGTCTTGGCGCAAACGTTGCATTCATATTTAATCTTGCCGTTCTGCTTTTTAAGGGGGTAGGGCAGCGTCTTGTAGCCCGTCATATTTCTTTTGTTTTTAATGAGATTCATGGCTTCGTCACTGCCGGGGGCCGCCAGCGCCGCTGAGGTAGCTTTGGGCTGCACCACGTGCTCCGCCGAGGCGGCCGTGCCCGCCGTGGGCGACCCGCTGGTGGGGCTGCTCGCCCTGTCCTTCATGCTGGCGGCCGCCCCGGGGAGGGAGAAGGCACTGTGCGGCGCCGGGACGAGCACCTCGCGCGCGTGGTCGGGCTGCAGCGGCCTGCGGGCTCCGTCCGAGGGCAGCGAGCTGGGCAGGGAGGCCGGGCTGAGCAGGGGGTGCGGCAGGCTGCCGCCGCCCAGGAGGCTGCTGTAGACGGGGTAGAGCCGGGGGAAGAGGCCCAGGTTGCCCACGCCGCCCATGTTGCCCATGGCGCCCAGGCCGTTGCAATTCACGCCGTAGGGGGGCAGAAGGTACTTGGAGTAGTGGGCGTTGTAGGAGGGGATGAAGGCCGGGGGCAGGTGCGGGGCCGGCGCGTAGCCCGGGTAGGAGCCCAAGCCTTCCGGGCCGTAGGGGGCGTTCAAGTAGGCGTACGAGTCCCGGTGTTCCGGAGGGCAGGGCGCCAGGGGCGACACCGTGTTCCCCGGGCTGCTGTGCGGGCTGCAGCTTTTGAGGCTTTGGTCGGGGCTGCTTCTCGCCGAGGGGCTCGGGGTCGTGGAGGACGGGATGGGGGAGTGAGTGATGTAGGTCGGCCTCTCCATCCCATAGGCTTTCAAAAAGTTCTCCGGCAGAGGGGCCCGGAGCGGGTAAACGACCCGAGGGTAGAAGGGCATTTCGGGGCTCCCGTTTTTTCGGAAGTCGTCTGCGTCCTTTTCTGGGGCGAGGGGGGAAATGTTGGAGCGGTAGCAGTCCTTTCCTTTGGAGGGGTTCGAGTCCAGTTTCAGGATCTCCTTCACGCTGTACTCTCTCTTTGGGACATTCTTGGGGCACAGTTCATTTTTCTCGGTGCTCGGCTGCTTTGGATGGCTCTGTGTTTGTGCTGAAATAAAGAACGGAAGGTTAGTCAGAGGGTTAGAGAGAACTGAAGTGAATTTCCAAAGCTGCGCTCTCCTGGAGAAAACCTGAGTGCCAGCTGGCCACAAGCGAGAGACACCTGGCTTCTCAACGCCCTTTCATTCTAGAGGGCCCGGGGCCACTTGCTTACACACACCACTCGGTTTCCTTCTCAGCAGAGTGGGGACAGTGGCAGCATCTCAAATGAAGAGCACCGTCTGGATTTTTCTGTTTCTACTAGTAAAAACCGTATGATGGCAAAGTGCTGTTCAAGCTAGAATAGGAGAGCTTCCATTAAAATGGGGGTGGAAAAATCCTGGGGTGGGGGTGTCAGAGGCTAATAAAAGTCATTCTCTGATGTTCACAGTATACGGAAAGGAAATCAGCACACCCTGTGAACTAGATGTGAAAGATTAAGACTCATTTCAAGTAACAAGCAGTCATCAGTTTTCGCCTCGATTCTTGTTTAATACGAATTTGATAAAACCCTGTTCAAACTGCCTGTGCCAAATAGATTAGCAATGTGGATGCCACCCTTTCCCCTCCGATTTGCTGACCGCACAGGAACTGCACCAAGGTTCTGTCTGGTCTAACCAGGCTCCCAGCAGTGCTGTCCCCTGGAATCACAAGGCGTGACCTACTCTTCTCTGCCAAACCACAACAGGCACTTCCCGAGCCAGTTCAATTACTTAGAGCACCAAAGAAAACAGGCAGCTAAGATGAAAGCATTTATTCTATATTATTACTCGGTAAATACACTACTTAGGAACAGCAGCAATGAGGACAGTTCCAGACTCTTCGGGCCATCGCCAGCCCTGCCCCTCCGAATACACTGAACAAACGATGCCTTTGGGAAAACACCAGTGAGAGCAGGGAATACCAAAAACAACCCGTTCAGCCTTCCCTGGAAATCAAAAGTAAAACTTAACGCTCCTTCGCTGGAGCTCTGGTTATCAGAGGGGCGATCATTCCAACCGAACAGCTGCCCCATGAGTAGGAGTAGGTTGAAGGCATGAACCCTCCCATGTGTGCGGATGCTCTGGGAGGCAGGAGAGCTCTTGGCCTCTGCATCGTAACAGGACAGGTTTGGGGGACCATGCGGAAGCCTCTGTAAAAGTATCATTCGTGGTCGCCTAAAAAAAAAAAAGTTTCCGTTTGATTTCACTGAGAAAGCACTCCAGGCCTGATATCTGATAGGTCTAGAAATGAACTCTGTGGAAGTCCAGACTCTGAACTCTTCAAATCCATTCTCTGGGCTGACAGACTTGAGGGATTCGATTCCAGTGTGAGAGGCCCTCGGAGAATGTTATCTCCTGCTAGCTGTTATCAGTTACTCCAGGGTGAGCCAGCAGCCCCAGAATAAACACAGCCAGGACACTATCAGGGAAGATGCTGATGGGGGCAGTGATGGAGAGCTTGTTGAGGGAGAGGGATTTCTGAAGCCACTAAACCAAAATAAATAACCCCTTATCGGGCCAATATCAGTCTTTCAGTGAGGCCCAGCAGGCAGGAAGTTCAAATTGTCACTTTTGTTTTTTAAAGCTGAAATGGTAAAGGAAGAGAGACAACGAAGTTGGAAAACTGATAGGCGAGGCATCTCACAGCCACAGGAAGGAATTTTATGGAGGTGAAAAAGAACAATTTGAAGGCACCCACGTAGGACCACATTTAAAAAAAGATGTCACCCTCCTAAAATGAACATACAGAAACCTCACCATCCTGTTTCTGCCATTTTTATGTGGCAGATTACACCTGAGTCTCATAATGTTTCCGGTGGCTTCAATACTGTCTTGGTTCTAAAATTCAACAGATTAAAACCATAAGCAAGAAGCGGGAGTCCATCAGTAGCACTGTCCTCGTATATTTAGTCAGGTGTTCTCACTAGGCACCCCGATAATTCAGTTATTAAACTGAAAACAGAGGGGCGCCTGGGTGGCTCAGTCGGTTGAGCGTCCGACTTCAGCTTGGGTCATGATCTCACAGTCCGTGAGTTTGAGCCCCGCGTCGGGCTCTGTGCTGACAGCTCAGAGCCTGGAGCCTGTTTCAGATTCTGTGTCTCCCTCTCTCTCTGACCCTCCGCCGTTCATGCTCTGTCTCAAAACTAAATAAACGTTAAAAAAAAATTTTTTTTTAAATAAATAAAAAAATAAACTGAAAACAGAGCTAATAATTAGGGCGGATGATAGGAAAATCAGAATTTATCATTTTCTATGCAAAATACTTATTAGCACAGGGCCTGGGCTAGAGTAAGATCACAGTAGATGTCTGCCTTTATAGAAATCAATTTGTATCATCTTTCAAAACAATATCCAGAGGGAAACGTTAGTCCCCTAAGATGTTCTAAGGTGGAAGTCATGGAGTCTATCTCTGTGAAGGTACATTTTAAAAAATCATCCTTCAGCAGCTGAGTAATCAGTAGAGCTGGTGTCATTTCTGACTCTCCCACTCAGCAGCAGCTTGAGTTAACATGAAGAAGAAAATCAAGATCTGTTTTTGTTCTTAAATCTTAAATGGCTGTAGGCGGACGGAGTCATTTCAAGAGTGAACTGCTTCTGAAGGCTCTGAATGGCTTAATTATGCCGACTCACATTTTCGATCTATAATAAGAACCCCCAAGACTACAAGAAAGAACCTAGAAGTTCTGCAGTAGGCAAAACAAAGTCTGTTTTCAACTGAAACTGAGAAAGCAGATTAACATTTAGAAGTCTATAATTTGGTCAACTGTTTTCTAGATGGGTTGGTTAGATACATAGGAAAAAAATACCAAAAAACTTGGGAGGGGTTAAGAGTTAAATTTAATAGTTTCTACTCTTTTAGTTTTAAAAACCGCCAATTTGTGATTTCTGGCTACTTATTATTTTTTTTTTTTTTACCTCCGTTTAATTAGACTCTCTTCTCAAAATTCTCCCATTGGAACCATCACTGCCATTTAAAGTCCTCATGGAGATTTTGGCACAGACCTCTTATTGTGCTTGAAGCATGGAAACCCAACACAACTCACTTGAAGACACAATCTACCTATTAGACCTGATGAAATAGTGGAAATTTTCCTGATCAGAGGCTCAATCATCAGCTACCACACCTAGGACAACTGGTTTCACAATCTGCAGCAGGAGTCTTGGCTTAATGTGACTGGTTATTGTTCACTCTCATTCTTGACTAGGAATCCTGGACAAGGAAAGGGTATCTGAAAATGTTAAACCTCCATTTAGAAAAATTTCTGCACAGACGAAAAGGGACATTTGTGGGAACGAAAGTGTCATTTCGCGGTATACACACAAGTTGGCTCTGTACACAAAGAGTTAAGCACTTGAATTTTAGATACTGTGAAAAGCCTTTCGTCAGGGAATAAAAATGCAGGGCCTTTGCAACCACACAGGGTGAAGGATGTATGTGAGAAAGCTTCTTCATGGTTGGGGCAAAGTCACTGGGGTGGGTCACTTCAAACAGAGTTACTGTTTAAGAAAAAGAAGAAGAAAAAAAAAAAACCCACCAAGGTCTTTCTCTGAATCCATGAATGATTAAGATCAAGGAATATAAGGAGACCGTCAAGAAGTGACTTGCCATGCTGAGAAAGTCAAGAGTAAACAGCACACCTTCCTCACATCTTCTCTAGTGAGAGGAGCTGCTAGAATAGAAGTTGTCTTTTACCACCAGGCCGTGGGGAGTGGCCCAAACAGCTGAATGGCTCCTGGGGTGCTCAGCACATGTGACAGACTCTTGGGAGCTCTGAAGAGACATGAGGGAAAAGAACGGACACCTTTCATCAGGACCTGATTCCCCCCTCATGCTCAGGTTGGAAGCCGTCTTGTTTCCAATGAGTCCAAGACCTTTTCCTGAAGCTCAAGGGTGCAATGATTGTGTGTGTGTATATGGGGCGGGGGGGCAGTTTGGGACCACGAATGCAAACCTAAAAGGTGATCCTGTGAGGGAGGTTGGTAAGTTTTTACAGCCCCACCTTTTCAGAAAGCGACAAACACAGTATTGAGATCCTAGGGAGATCAAGTAAACTAGACAGTGTGGGATGAGCACCAAATAGCTATAGAATTGGCTTACACCTGAGTAGGATAGGTAATTGGTTTGTTAACAGGTCCCAAAATTAAAGTCAAAATTCAAAATTCTAATTTATGTTAACATTCATTCCAGATGTTTCAAAGGTGAAAACGTGAACTAAAGTAATTCAGCCTTCAGATGAAGCAACTGAGACCTCATTATCAATAGTTGGTATATCTGGGGAATGCTTTGTACTATTCTTGTAACTCTTCTGTAAGTTTGAAATAATATCAAAACAAATAGTTACAAAAATTTCAGAATTTAGATGCCAAAACTTTAAGCCAGAAGGATTTAATGTTAAAAACTTCCTTAAAACTTAGCAGTCTAAGAACATACAACCATAATTACAACAGATTGGAGTTTTATGGCAATTCTTAAATTGTTCCTAGAGATCACTTGAGAATGACTAAAATGAGGTAGCCCTTTCCAGAGAGGTTAGGACATTAACTATAGTCAAATAAAAAAGTAAAAGCTTATAAACCTAAGGAACTGAGAATTTGTTAAAATAAAGTGATAGGGGTGCCTGGGTGGCGTAGTCAGCTGAATGTCCGGCTCAGGTCATGATCTCATAATTTGTGGGTTTGAGCCCCAAGTCAGGCTCTGTACTGACAGTGTGGAGCCTGCTTGGGGTTCTCTTCCTGCCCCTCCCCCATTTGTGCCTTTTCTCTCTCTTTCAAAATAAATAAGTAAACTTTAAAATAAATTTAAAAGGTTTAAAAAAAATTAAAAATAAAGTGATAGGTGGCTTACTGTAATACGGATTAGGAGATTAGATAATTAGGATTAGGTTTCTGCCATAAGGAAGGAAGGTATGATATAAAATATTTAGAGTTATCCATTTAGAAGAATATTTTTAAAATTGTAGCTGTGAGTTTTTCCAGAGACAATCCTGGATATTCTACATCAGACCGTGAGTTGATAACCAAATGTGCATCTCTATAATATTTCAACACACATTTTAAGCACCAACAAATCACCACAAACAAGGGCTATCCCTTAAAGACTAGGCATGTCAGGACCAATCCCTTTTATACTACTACCTGCCCCCTTTTGGAAGGATTACAATTGGATATATATTTCTTCCTCCAATTTTCTGAATTAAACACTCAAAATAGCTTTTAATAGTTTACATGGTCGAGTTTCATAATGGAGAATAGGGACTCAAAAAAAATTGTTTTCCCTTTTCCTAGTCCCTTGTTTAAGCCACCTACTTGGCCCAACAAATGAAGCCATATAATTAAACAACATGTTATTAGCTCATAGGGGCAGAACTGACATTACTGGCATTTTTTATTTTATTTTTTTGTTCTATAATCCACTTACTGAGATTCATCATTGTCAGCTCTCCGGGATAAGGGTAGTGAAGCCTTTCTGCAAAGTCCCGACAATACCACACAAGAAGCTCCTGGTTGGCAGGGATGGGCTTAATGGTGTAGAAGTAGATGTTCATCCCGTTCTGACACGCAGCCAGATTTTGCTCCCGGGCAGAGTGCGCCGGATTCACATAGCGCATCCAGTTGCTTTTCTCCTCATTGAAGCCATCGATGAAGTGGTGAAGCTCCCCTCTGGAATAGATCTGTCCAAATGAAAAGACAGACGTGTGAAAGAAAGTCAGCCCCAAAGCAATGGAAAGCTTCCCCGGCACCCTGAAGAACAAACACAGCAAGTACGGAGGAGTGTGCTTTCTCGTTCCCTGTGGCCCAGTTAGAAAAAAGAACGAAATCGGTTTAGCCAGAGTAGTCTTGAATCAGCATAAGTAAGGGCAGAAACAGGTAAGGCACACTTTGTCAGTTACCTTTTCCATTTCAGTTTTATCGTCTTTTCATGTTTGGGGAAAAACAACAGAAGAATGAAACACAACATTTCATTTAAGGAGCCGCCTCAGGCGGACCAAACCACCAGAGAGTATTACTTTTGCTACAGCCGTGAATGGCAAATGGGCGATGCTACTAACTTTAGTTCCGATTATGCTGACTTTTAATGCTTTGAGTCACTGGGTAGAAGACCAAGTCAACTGAATACGTCAAACTGAGTCTCTCAGCTTTTTCTATGGCCTCTGTACTTGCCGTTTCCTACACCCCCGCCCAAGGCTTAAACTATGCAAACATCCTCCACCCCCAAGCCTCCAAGTCCAGAAGTAACACTTGTTCATAAGAATACTTGGAACCTTGCCTTTTTGTGGAAACACTGGGTGGGGCAAAGGTGAACTTCACCTGCCATAACAAAGTGAGCACCGGGACAGAAGCCAGAATTTGACAGTCTACTGAGAAGTCACTTTTCCTCTTGATAAACATGTTCGGCCTTGCGCTTGTCTTGCAAGCCAAAGGAGAGGAGAGGGAACCCTCTTATCTGAAGGGTGGTTGGCTAAAACACCACCCACAGGGCCACAGGCACGCGTTTTTCAAAAAAGAACAGGAATAAGCTATGTTGTTCTTTAAAGGCAACGCATAACGAAGAATTCAAAGTTTGCCCCACAGTACCACTACTTTCTGGTTAACGCACTCAGGCTCCTCAGTGAAAAGGCAGAGGTAAGAAGAGGAAAAATTAAAACCTACAGTCTTGCTGAAACTACTTTATAAACAAACTCCTTCTGCTTCCACAGAAAGCTTTTCTCTCCCTCTTTTCAAGATGGACCATTTTTTTCTTCAGTCTTAAGAAATTTCCTTATACATCTATAATCAATACCTGGTTATCTGCGACTTGTAGTCCTCGCGGAGTAGGGCACTGTTCATAGCAGAAATTTTGCTCTAACCGGACAGCAGGTTATTGCTTTGTTCCTAGTCACATACTGACTATGATAGTCTATAAATCGTTTCTGTATTTCACTCAAACGTTATCAGAAACAAAAAGGAACTCTGTCCCTTTAACACGGGCAGTAAACACCAGAATCACTTTCTTTTAAGAGTAACTTCCTGTAAATTGTGAAGGGGGAAATACATGTGGCTTCATCAAAGCAGCTTGTGAGAGCTTTTGCGGTGTGTTTTGTTAAGAGAAAATGGAACAAGGCTGGGTGAATTCTGCTATCAAGAGGGGTTTTCAAGTTTGTTTACTCTGATGTGCAAACTTCCAGGAACATGGGGTTCCATCGCTCTGCACTCTTCGCTGGGCGGAGACTGCTTTCTAAAGCTACGGGTATGAGATTCCAGTCAGCCATCCATGGACTACAATTTACTGTCATCCTCATTTAAAAGACAGAAATGTCAATGCCATGAAGTCATACACACACACACTCGAAAATAAAATAATGCATACGTCAAATGAACACTGCTCTCTCTTACCTCACTACATTGCCATATATTATCAGGAAGATTAAAAATGTGCTGACTCATAGTACAGTTACAAGAAATGTCACTCACTGGTTTCTCAACTTGAACATCCCTACTCTTCTTTGCCTGTGTAATCTGGATGGAAGTTTTTCTTTCCTTACAACAGATGTTCATATTCCTGCCAGCAAAATCAGGATGCTTTTAACAACATGTGGGGAGTTTTCTCCTACAATATCCTTTGTATGTGAAAGACTGATTCAAATAAATCCTCCCAAGGAAAGCATTTCAGTTACTTATAGAGAACCTTTAATGAACCAGAGAATTGGGACAGAGACAGGAGGTTCTCAGGTATTTCTTGCCTTTTAAAAAAAATGACCACACATCATTAAGTCTTATGCTGGCATGTGTTAATTCAGACCTTTGACTCCAAGAATTACACACTTCTGTGGCTCATTTCTGAGAAAATTTTATTGGCAAGAAAGGCAAAAATGCACTCACTGACATTTTGCCCATTAGAAGTCATGAAGTAAATATATTTGAAGCATGTGTAATTATTTTTTTAAAGATTTTTTTAAAGTTTATTTGAGAGACAGACAGACAGACACAATGAGAGCTCACGCTTGTGAATGAGTGGGGGAGGGGCAGAAAGAGAAGGAGAGCGAGAATCCCAAGCAGGCTCTGCACTGTCAGTGCAGAGCCCGATGTGGGGTTCAATCTCTCGAACTGTGAGATCATGACCTAAGCTGAAATCAAAAGTCAGTCCCTCAAATGACTGAGCCACCCAGGTGCCCCAAGCATGTGTAAATATTAAATAAAAATTGTGAGCACACAATTCTTAGCATTTTCTCACGTTTGGAAAATAGAAAAATAAATTTCTAAAAACACAAAACTTCCTGAATTAAAAAAAAAAATCCTGTTTCTATGGAACAGCTTCTGACTGATCCCCAAATGGAAGCCTTTTATAAAGACACTTGTCCAAAAGATATAGGCATCCTCGGTAAATACTGGCCAAAATAAGTATAATCCAGTTTTTGTTGTTATCATGCAGCTGTTTCATAAAAGAATTCAAACCATGGTTCCCCAGTAGTCAGGATCATTTTATGCAAATATATATAAAAAAATTACTTTTAAATTTAATAAGCATATTCTCATTTTCTAACTGAGAAAACTGAATATCCTAGAAATCTACAGGAAGATGGAAAGCAGTCCAATTTTTTTCTCTGTTCCCTTCTAATTCAGAGCCTTTTACTCAAAAATCCATCTAATTAGTTTATCTTTGAGGTCCTTTCTAATCTTGATATTCCAAAGGAAATTGTATGGGCCAGACCTTTATGCTCTCCCATGATTGTAAGCATTTCCCTTATGCTATGGGAGCAATGTGCATACAGTCACATCCAACAGTTTTACGTGTAGATGCGTGACTAGTCCTAGTCATCTCCATTCCCCTAGTGGCATCTTCCACGCATCCTTCCTTAACTGCATGTATTTTCAAGCTAATTCATTTACGATTACTCTTCCATTCAATTAAAGTTAACTCAGCAAGAAATCAAGAAGGGGTGAAATCTAAGGCTTGGTGACTCATTACTACTTCCTTGCAGAGAAATGCAAATGAACCTACCCTTGAAACAAGCAGCAAACTGTTTCCTTTCATCACAAAGCTCTAATGAATTGCAAAAATTAAGATTCACATACAGTCCATATCTCCATCCCTAATCACCTACAGGCTGCTTTTCTAGAGCCACATATTTAACCAGTTTCAATCGCATTTGCTTACAATGCCCTGCGTCCACAGGGGCCCCAATGTTGTGGTGAGCCCTAGTATAGGTTGAAAAAGGAAGTGACCCAGCAATTCTAGCTCCATTTTTTTCCCTTAATTCTTAAAGAGTCTGAAACAATTTTCTCTACTTACCCGCCAAAAATATTTCCTGTTGGCGTTCTTAGGAACAGTATCATTGGTGTAGATTTCGCCTATTAGAGGTCCAAAACGTGTTCCCTTTGGTATGTATTCTTTACTCACTACTCCAATAACCTATAGGGGGTAAAATATGAGATAATTACTTCAACTGTAAAATATTAACTAACTTTTTCATTGAATTGTCAAGTGGTAGTACAATCAACAACGACAAAATTATGATATGGAGAGCAGATATTAATGGTGCCTACATAATTTTAATAACAAGCTTCATCTTAGGGGGAGGCCATCCTTCAAACTCCCGGATCGTAAGCAAATACCCAACCAAGCGTGAAAATCATCTAAAGGATTATTCTCTGGTGACTGAAGGTCCTTTATTTTTATTATTACTTTTCATGCTAGAAAAACAGAGAAGATAATCGTTTTACCTGATTTTAGAATCAGATATTGCAGAATTAGACTGTCAAGAGTAAACTACTTCAGCCTGCTCCTAGTTTCTTATTTCTCCTTCTCCCTCAAACTATAAACATAGCATGCTTGAGGGGAATAAAATAGTTTTAACCTCAGAAACCAAAATAATGCCCTTTGGTTGTTCCACAAAGACCTAAGGAACCAGAAGCAAAACACATTAGATGTTTTTTCATTCCAGATGAGGTTTTTCTTTTTTTTCATAGCTTGTAAGTTCTCCTTAATAGAAGAAAGATCTTCAAGTAACTTTGTTCTCCTCTAGCATCTTCTACTCAACAGTGGTCAAGTTATCCTTTGAAATGGAATTTATACCGAGGAGAGCTGTGGGTTCTGAGATCTGAGGAAATGACCTTCTCAGACTGGATGTATCACACCAGAGCCTTGCTAAAGAAACATGTTAACTATGCCAGTTCCTCCTTGATCGTAAATTTCTTTAAGGGAGTGAAAAAAATCACCAACCACGAATCAGGAAGCAATTCATCACTATTCAAAAGAATTCTGTAAGTGGTCCTCTGCAACGTTTTGCAGTTACAGTTTTGTTTTGGTTTTTATTCAGTCACTTTCCCATTTTTATTTTTTTCTTGTCCAAAACTGAATACTTTTTACTTACTGAATACCTTACTGACACGGACCAAGAGGGGAGGTAAAAGAGAATATTTATTTCCAGGTTTTATGAAGCCCGGTGGCTCCTGTGTAATTGTGTACCCGCAATGGTAGGTCCCAATATATGTATCAGTGAATGTTCACAGGGGATTCTCAGATTTTGGTTGTGATGTACGTGGGGACCTCAATAAATCTCCATCAAGAATTTAAATCTGTTTAAATGGATATGGAATAAGCACATCTACATGGTTGTAAAGTCCAATCTTTCTCGTGTACATTTCTCATCAGTCAATGATTTTTTTTTTTTTAACAATTTGGTATTCAATATACAAGCCTCAATGGAGCGTACCCAGACTGAAAAGACAGGAAAAAGAAAGAAAGAAAGAAAATTTCCTACACCTAACACAAGTTGAAACAAGGTTGTGAGCTAAAGTGTTATTTTTGGTACTTTATGAATTTCTGGCAGAGAGCTGAAAAAAGCAGATGTTCATTTCATCCTCCTCCTCTGCCTTCATTTACATCTACGTGCCCTTTCAATACAGTTCATCGTTATTGGTATTTGTTGGCAGTAAAATGACTGGGGACAGGAGTGCCTCAGAACAGTCTTGAGATAAAAATTTGTACTAAAGCTGAAGTAGACTTACTTATTCAGAGGCTCGTTATTTACATTATTGCCCCTAATTAATTTGAAAAATTCATGGAATTGACTTCTATGACACGCAAATCATTTGGCATTCACATTTGAGTGATTATTCCATAATATTAAAATGACAAACAGGAAAAACAAATAATGTCATTTGTTGGTGAGCCAATAATTAGTAGTTGATATTTTCAACATATCCACTTTAAAGCAGTAATTTAAAGAAAGGTACTCAACTGGTTCATCAACTTTGTTTTAAATTATAGTCTCTTGAAGACAGTGTCTTGGGAGTCAGAGCTTGATTACCAACAAGTAGCATTATATTGAGGTCAGGCTTTTTCTTCTGAATTGCTCTTTTTTTAACCAATGAGGTCTCTTGCTTCTCATCTATCAATCTTATACTAAGAAAACACACACAGTTTTCTTATGGCCAAAAAACTCGACAGAATCATGTTTCCACAAAAGAATTTTCAGAAGACATAGCCACCCAGCACCTACTTGAGTACAAGTATAAGAAAGTCACGAGGACGCTATAAGACAGTATTTGCCATTTATAACTTTACAAATGCAATTAAGCAGGAGAGGAGAGAGGAGAACAATTAAAAAGAGGAGGGTCTGTGGAAGAAGAGAGGTCTATGAAAGTTTTCTGATTTAAAAAAGAGCCAAAGAGCCTTCAATATTGGATTATCTTTACAAGTGAGACAGAACCCTATTATTTTAAGTTCCTATTATACAAGAGCTATAGGAAACATATAAACACAAAAGTGGATAAACAGAGACACAAAATCATAGAATTTCAAAGGTTGGGAAGAATTGTATGGCTTATATGCCATCTATATCCATTCCCAGTCCAGCATTTTCATACGGGATAAATACCTTCATCTGAAATCTGTGTCTGAGACATTATTCAAAGAGGACATACAAGCTGCAATTTTAAGATTACAGTACTCGGCTAGGTAACTGTGGAGGGGCAACAGAAACCAAGGTCATTTTTAATGGGAAGTGGAAGACCTAGTCATATTCTCCCTCTGGCCCTAGAAAGATCCAGCTGTGAACCTGAGCTAACAACATTCTATCCTTGGAGCAAGCACATGATACAGAGGAACCTGGTGTGTGCCTTGGATTTCACAGTGCTAAAAAGACTAATTAAGAATGTGTTCACCTATCTCAAGAAGGAAACTTCACAGGAACTGACCAGGGTCCTAAAGAATTACTACTAGGGGCAGGCTGCTGTGTGCCTCCCATTAACCTATCAGGGACAAGACCCTGGCCTCTACACATCCTTGCCCCTCTCTTGCCTCCGGCCAAGCTCTTCCATACCATGCATTATATGTTGGGGTCCAATCCTTCCACCATTTGGGCAGATCTGTCTCTGTCAGTGGCCTCGGTTACAGGACACACCCTGATGTCTGAGGCTTCCAGACAAAAAAAAAAAAAAAAAAAAAAAAAAAAAAAAAAAAGGGCTTGTTTTTCATCATACAAAATGAAGATTTCACAACTTAGGATGGGGGTTGCTAAATCAAAGTATGATATCAAGGAGAATATAAACTTGTTTTTTTTTTTGTTTTTTTAAGCAATTCCTCCTTTAAGGAATATACAGATACACACTCATAGCAGCGTGCTTTAAGCAGAAACCTTATTCAAGTTTAAATGTGGTATGAGCATCATCACCCCAAATTACATTAAGATGATTTAAATTACTAGCTATCTCTCCCCCTCCCCAGATTTGCCCCTATAAAAATGATTTCTTCGATTAAAATTCTATTTTGAAGACAAGGATATTCGCATTGAGATAACTAGAACTGTGTAGTGGACTAGGACTTCAGCTTGCAATTCACTTCATTTTTTTAAAAAGGGGGTGGAATGGATGAGAGATGTTTTTGGAAGGTTTCCTCCACAATTATCTTTGTATTAAAGGAAACATGGTACATTGTCTCACAAATAAAAGGCACTATGAAGAAGAGGGAATTGCATGTTATGGAGAGATACTTTTTACAGATGGCTTGAGTTAATAATGGACTTCAATCAAAACAGACATTCAGCGAGTCCCCATCATTGGCCTGATGTTTATCACCGCATGACTCTGGGAGGTCAGACTCAGAGCCACTGTGCCTCTTGAATACAAGCAAACTCAACACAGGCTACCGCTTCTAAAATATAAATGCTTAAATTGATCTTGCTGTATTCAAGTATTCACAAAAGATTATTTCAGGAGAACAAGGGGAAAATCCCCCTAAAAGAATAACCCATCAGTTAAAAAAAGTTCTAAAAGTTTTGAATAGTAGGTCTATATTTGGCTTCAGTTCTGGAAATAGGAAGTAAGAACAGCCTCATTAAAGGTGCAGAATGATTCTAAACCAAATCTAAAAATGAGGGTCAAGATCAGAAATATGGTTTGTATGTTTTGTTTTTAAACCCAAAGAAAAAAAAAGGTGCTGACACATAGCACAAATTCATAATGAAAAATGGTCTTGTTAAAAAAAAATCCCCCAGTATGTCAGCACAACAGTACATAATGTAACATCTTCTGCTATTTAAATGAAAACATGTAAAGAAGGGCAAGATAAATCAGTGAGATAAAGACCCCACGTAGAAAGCTTTTTTTTTTTCTCCTCTTTCCATGGCTGGTGGGACTGAAAGAACTAACTGAATAATGATAATGTAAACATTTCATCAATCCTGAAGGTTTCTGTTCTAGAACTGTCTGCAGGTATCACACCCTCAATGGCTTAATTCCCCAGGCTTCTTTCACCACCTTAAGGAAACTGTCCTCTCCCAAAAGGGCAAAAAGGAAGAAAGAAAGAGAAAAACGGGTACAAATTCCAGAGTGAGTGTAAGACAGTATTACATTTAAGTTGGCTTCCTGGTTGCTTTTATGATTAGGAACGGATGTGGGAAAATAGAATAGAAGGCCCTGATCTCTCATTAGGTTAGTTTTGAAAAGACCCTCTTTAGGGATACAGATACTGCATGAACATACTGAAATAGGAAGTTATATGTTCAGACCAAAAAAAAAAAAACACCAAAGAAGCTTAATAAAGGATTGGGCTGAAAGATGTAAAGACGATAAATAAAACCACAGTGACACCAAGAGGGGCCAGTGTAGCATAATCAAGAAGCAGTGGCTGGGGAAGTCAAGAGAACTTTGCTCCTAGTCCTGGCTCACGCTTCTCACAATACATCTTAGGTAAGGGACTATCGTTCTGAACCTTGGACTAATAATCTGAGGGCATTCCTTTATTGAGCTATGATTTTAAGCAGAATGATGGAAATTGAAAAACAAGCTAAGAGCTGAACTGATGATAAGAACATTATAGAATTAAAAGCCACAGAATAGAGGTCTTTAAAACAATGGGCAGGACAGGGCAACACAGCACAAAAATGAACCCTGAGAACGGACCAATATTTGGTCAAATGTGATATGGGAAAAAACACACTACACCTTTTAAAACCACAGTCAAACTTTAAATAGCCAAACAAATCCTACATTGATTCCACGGGCCACATCTTATGAGACTTTCAATGAGAAGAGGGTTACTTTCAGAAAGAGGTATAATTAAGGCTGACCTCTGGGGGTTAAATTTTTGGTAACATTCATGTACAACTACAATTTAAATTTTGCTTTAAAAAAAAATCTGCCTCCATTCTTCCAGCAGGGGAAAAAAAAAA